AGGGATTTATTGCTCGGAGGTCGCAGCTGGGATTCGCATCCTAGAGCTAGGCCAGGCATTGACCTAGATGTCCTGTTTGCGTTTCTAACGTTATTTTTCCTCTCCAGTTCCTCTATCTCGCTCTTCTTTCGTGGATCTTTCTCTTCCTTTCCATTTTACACACACATATATAGAATCTTTCGTGTAACTAAAATTACTAAAACTTTTGCGTAAACTAAAAATCAAAATTTTTAATTTCGTCTCGGAACGAGTGTCGTAGTTTCCTAATTAAAACGAGGTTAAATGTTAAAAACGATAGATAGTTGAGTCGAGCATTGTCTCGTGAATTGTTTAAAAAGAAGAAAAAACAAACAATTATTTGTATTTCTCGTATTCGATGTCATCTCCTTCTCAACAATTTTTCATCACAACTCGTTCTCCATCTGGAAAAAATTTTCCAGATATTTCTTGGAAAGAAGTATTATATCACATGAGTTGATGTTTATCTCGATCGAGGAGAGCAGGATATTTCGCTCGATTTAACGGCGTTAATGCGAGAAAAATGGGGAGGGGCTACCTGTTGATATATAATCTCGCGTGGCGTAAACGTGGTGGCCGTCCGTGCCGGTTGCCATCCTGCAGGCGCGCACCAAACCGCCGCGCCGTTCAATTTACGATTCGACGCGCACGTCCAACCCCGACACGAATTCAATATCCGTAATAATATCCGAACGTGTTTTCGATACCAGCGGCTGTTACGATGATGTGTTCCTCGCCCGGCTTTCACGATGAAAAACGGAAGAGAGGCTCGATGGGAAAGGGGGGAAGGGCAAGGAGGGAGCTGTTTGCAGCCGCAATTATTGGAAATTGAATACCATCGCTGTCCCGCCTTGGTTTTCAGTTCGAGAAAGAAAGTTGACGTTAGACGAAGTTGAGGTTAGACGTAACTTTGGAGACAGTTGTGTCGTGGGAAATGGGAGAAGATTCGAAAGAAAAGAACGAAATGGATTGCTCTTTTCACCGGATCAAGATGGTGAATTATTTATAAAATATATTTACTCTAATCTAATCTTCAGAATATCGAGAAATTCTTCGAAAATAGAATTTTCTTCGAGAGGCTTTCGTTTAATTTCGGGGGAGTCGGAAAAAATTAAAAAATACAAATTTTCCTCTTCCTTTTCGAATTTTGTTTATTATAGAATTTCCAAAAAATCTTCTTCGATCCCCCATATTTCTACATGGGGGAGAAATGAAACGGAGAAGGCGGAAGAAAGGAAGGCAGGAATTGGCGGGCGGACTACCAGTGGGGTGGGTCAGGGTTAGTGTCGAAGGTTAGGCTGCCCCCCTCCCTACCCAGAATTCTCTCAGAGAGTTGGGCGCCAAGAGGGAAGGGGCGTAGACGATCGATATTCCACTACTGGCTGTACAACTACTACTCGCCTTTTTCATCCCCTCTTGACGCACTTTCGGAACTTCCTAGCCCCGTTCCCTCCGATGTTATCCAAGGAGGGAAGGGGGAGACCTGCTCGTTCGAGTTCGATCTAATTTGCATACTACATGTGCACCCTTCCCACAGCTTCGAAATTAGAGGTAACTAAGGATTTAAAAGGAACTTGTTTTCCTTTTTCCAAATGAGATGATACGTTTTCGCATAGACAAATTTCAATTTTCCTTTCGTTTCGAAGGAACTCCATGGAATCTTGTGTTATGTGCGTACGTGTTATTTATATTGCAAATTTTTGCTCAATCTTGCGACCAATCGATCCGAATATTAGGATTAGGATGCTGAGTTTAACAATCGATTAATGGTCCAGTGACCAGCAACGACGAGGAAACTCTGTTTCTGCCGATGACACGCCGTCCATCGGACTGCTATTGTCAGAAGTCGGCCAGATGCGTGTTCCAGATGACAACGGTTATTAATAAATCCTTGTTTTCGTATTACTTCTCCCGATCAATAGATCCAGAGCGGAGGGAAGCCAAAGAAGAAAAAAATTTACTTGAATTGAAAAATTAATTCCTTCATCAATTCGTTCCACAAAGATAGATAGATAAATAAACCAGATTGAAATTCTTCCATTCAACAACGAGTTCGATTGAGAAATGATTAAAACTGACCTAACAAAAGCTATAATTTTTCAAGCGCGCCTCTCTTGCGCCTCACACGCCTCTTTGTGAAGAGAGGAAAGATATAACAGGAAATGAATTGCGTGCAATTGGACCTGGACCTGGAAAAGGGAATGGGTGAAGAAACGGTAAACAAAGGG